GCTTCTTTGCTCTGTGTCTCAAAAAACTGGCGTTCTTCCTTCTGTTTCTCTGTCCAGGCCGAAAGCTCCTCAAATCGCCCTTTCATGGCTTGATTATTTAGCTTCATGGCTTCTGCAGGAGGTTCAGAGTGATGGGGTCACACATTAGGAAAGTGGACTTGATTTGATGAACCAAATCTCCCTCTAGTCCGCTTGACCACATGGCACTGAATTGGAAGATGCCATGCTTAGCCTCGGCCCAAGGGTCAGCAGCAAAAAGATGAAGTGGTTTTTGCTTACAGAAAAGACTAGTGGGATGAACATCATTTCTAGCCCTTAAAAGTCCCAAGAGAATAAAGTTGATTTGGGTACTGCCACTACAGCACAAGTATCTAAATATCTATGGTTACCAGGCACTAAGGAAGTTCTTACTACTCCTAGATTCAAACATTGGTCCTGCCCAAAGCCATGGCTTGAGATACCAGGCGGCTTTCTCTTAATAAGGTAATATTTAGGACTAACTCTGGAACCATAGCAGCCTTTCTTCCTTTTTCCCTTTTTTTTTTTTTGAGTCAGGGTCTGTCTCTGTCATTCAGGCTGAAGTGCAGTGGCACGATCACGGCTCACTGCAGCTCCAACTTCCCGGGCTCAAGCAGTCCTCCAACCTCAGCCTCCCCAGTAGCTAGGACCAGAGGCATGCCCCACCACGCCCTGCTTTTTTTTTTTTTTTAATTTTTTTGTAGGGATGAGGTCTTGCCATCTTGCCCAGGTTGGTCTTGAACTCCTGGACTCAAGCAATCCTTCCGCCTCAGCCTCCCAAAGTGCTGGAATTACAGGCATGAGCCACCCCACCCAGCCTCTTTTTCCTTTTGAACAGGTTAAATTTCATTATGCTAGTTCCTTGAGCTACATACAATTTTTATTTTTACCTGTATCCAAAAGTAAATATCAGAACAGATTTAGCCTTGCCAAAAGCTAAATCCTATGCTTCCCCACCCGCTACCACCTACATAAACGGTGAGAAGGGAGCTCACCACCAAGCCTTAGTGCAAAGGGATGGCATTTCTTGAAGGCCCGGGATGAATGGGGCATGCATGGGCCAGCCCTGCTTACCTTTCAGCTGGTGGTTCTCGGTCAGAAGCTCTTTCATCTGCTGCAGCAGCTCCTCCGGGGTGAACGTGTCCAGGTTTGGGTGGGCCAGATGGGGGGGTCCATTTCCTGTGCTTTCACTGGGGCTGTCCCCCTTTTCAGTGAGGCAGCTGAGAGGTTGATGGGACATTGCAGAAGTTCCTGAGGAAAAGTCACCCGTTGAAAATAGAGCTGTCCCCCGCCCCACCAGGGATCCCCGGGAGTCCCACAAACCCATTGGCGATTGCTAATATTTACTCCCAAAGTTGTCCACTTTCTCTCCAGTTACATTTTGAATATTTTTAATTTTTCCTTTGAAACAAAAAAAAGTATATCTAGCTTCAGAAAAGTGTATGTGTGCGTGTGTGTGTGTGTGTGTGTGTATGGGTGTATAAAAGGGTACAATGAGGATTTGGGAAATGGGGGAGGGAGATGAGGGTATGACATCATGATGACCAGGATATATGTAGACATGGGCAAAGTATCCTGAAAAAAATTTCCCATGCAAATCTTCAAATTCAAATCTCCTTATTTTGAGTGAATTGCATGGTAAGCGAATTATATCTCAAAAAACTGTTTTTAAAACTACATTTTGTTTCTTTATTTTTGGTTAAGAAGAAAGTGAGAATTAACATTCTTCGAATGCTTACTATGTGTGGACTCGGCACACCAGGCCTGTCACTGACTAATCTTCATTAACGCTGAACCAGGCAGCTGTTTTACAGGTGAGGAAGCTGGGTTTACAGAGGCGTACAGCTCATCCAAGACCAGGAAGTGGCACCACCAGGTGTCAAAGCCACACCTTGTAAAACAACAAAGTTATTATACTACTGAGTACTTAGGCCTTCATATTCTATTTTTCAATGCATACTGAAAAGACTAAGATATCTTTACTTATGCATGGTCTTAAATTTTTTTACACGTATCACTTTGTTTTGTAGAGGGGTCCACGTGGACAGAGAAATGCAAGACAAATGAGTGAATCTCCACCGTGCTTCTGTGTTACCTACCACCCGGGCAAACATCTTCAGCACAAATTTCCACCTTCACACTTGGTGAAAATGATGTATTTTCTTCAAGAGCTGATGGGGATAGATCATAAAGCAATACATAGCAAAGGCAACTCCTCCCCACTAACGCTATATACACGTGGCCTACACACCCATTCCACAAAGATCAAGAGTGGCCAAAGTCCAGAGAGATGCCTGAAAAAGCATATGATTACTTCCAGGATGTTTACTGTTAGAAGATTGTTTCTGTTTTTTTTTGAGAGTCTCTCTCTGCTGCTCAGGCTGGAGTGCAGTGGAGCGATCTCAGCTCACTGCAACTTCTACCTCCCAGGTTCAAGTGATTCTCCTGTCTCAGCCTCCCAAGTAGCTGGGACTACAGGGGCGAGCCACCATGCCTGGCCCATTTTTGTATTTTTAGTAGAGACGGGATTTCACCATGTTAGCCAGGGTGGTCTCGAACTCCTGACGTCAGGTGATCTGCTGGCCTCGGCCTCCAAAAGTGCTGGGATTACAGGCATAAGCCACTGTGTCTGGCCGTTAGAAAATAATTTTAAACCCATCTATCCAACAAATAGGTATCAAGCAACAATGTACACTGTACAACTGTGATCAGGCAGAAAGCCACGGATGCACAAAAGGGGTGAAGAGAGAACCTGGAAGCGAGCATCCCATTTCTAACTGGGGAAAGGCATTGGTCTCTGTGAGATCCATCAGCCACTCATGACGATGGAGCCTGTGTGACCCCCGAGTTGTGGAGAATCCATTACACATGATATCAGTCCTTGGAAGATAGAGATAAGAGAATCGCCCGTTTCTGACATGGAACTGCGTCATAATATCTACGTGTGCATTTAATAGCCATCAATTAAAATAAAACCAAATGTACCAATGTGGTGTTGCATCCTTGGCCACAGGAGGCAATACCTTGGGCTTTCTGTAGATCTTCTGGAAGCAATACCTGATAACCTCCTTTTGGTGCGAGGAACTTGTAGGTAATCAGAGACAGAGCTACCTACCACACCCTGTGACAGGGCAGCCTGTGCCACTTCTTCCTACAAGAGCTAGCACCAAGAGGGTCATTCTCATGTAGTCATGTAATGAGGGTGATGGCAATTTCATGAAGCAAAAAACACGGATAAACCATAGGATTCATTTTTGAACCTTTTGTATCTATGTTTCACACACCCAAATTCATTTAGAAAACAGGTATAATGCAGAAGTGTTCCTTAGCTTAGCATTAGGTGACTAGAACAGACTGCTTTTCTTCTCCCCAAAATAATCTGAATAGATTATCAGTTTCTAATTTTCTAAATTCATTTTTTTGGTACCAAGAATCATCTCATTAAAATGGGGTTTTACTGAGTAACAGTGTTCCTACCTATTTTGCAGAGGAATACTAAAATTCTAGGTAATAGACCTAAAAGAGAAAATCCTTGTCATATGTATCATTTACTTGCCAACATTTAATTTTTCTTAGGTATTCAGTGATTATACTATATTTTGCACAGGCCATGAAAATAACAGATTTTTTTTTTAAAAAAGAAGCTAAGCAGATTTTTAGAAATGTGTTTGGTTTCATCTTATTATATGCACAAATTTCTCCTTTATGTTTTTTCTGAAAAGGAAAGGAAAGGAAGGGGAGGGGAGGAGAACAGAGGGGAGAAAAGAGACATTTCTCTGAAAATTGTTAAGATGCTTTCCCTCCGTGAACTTTTTTTTTGTTTTTCAGACAGAGTCTCACTTCGTCGCGCAGACTGGAGTGCAGTAGCGTAATCTCAGCTCACTGCAACCTCTGCCTTTCAGATTCAAGTGATTCTCCTGCCTAACCTCCCAAGTAGTTGGGATCACAGGCATGTGCCACCACACCTGGCTAATTTTGTATTTTTAGTAGAGACAGGGTTTTGCCACGTTGGCCAGACCAGACTGGTCTTGAACTCATGACCTCAGGTGATCCACCCATCTCGGCCTCCCAAAGTGCTGGAATTACAGGCTTGAGCCACTGTGCCGGCCCCTCCATGACCTTTTATACCTCCACCAAGCCTATAGACACCACCATAATAAAGTTAAAACTGGTTCTAGTTGTTACATCAGTGTTTCTGATTTCTCACGTTGCCCGGATTTTATAAGGATATGGGGAAAAAAGCAGGGTTGTGCTAAGGGAGGCCACAGAAAAAAGCACTTGTACCATTAGCCAGATGTGAGGCCTTAGGAAGTCATACGACCTCTAGTGATATTTATTGATTCATCCAGTAAATGGTAATCTTTACGTTGTTGCTTTCAGCTCAACAACACTATGAAAAATATTCTTTAGTTTCTAGAAAGACCGCAGTCTAAACCCCACCCTTCAATACGTGTACACCAAGTATCACCGGCAGGCCAGTCACTCTCACGAATAGCTATACCTGTCCTAACGACAGCAAATTCTGGGGTATCCAGTATTGTTAGAAAAAATAGTTTGTAATTCAAATGTCATCAAACATAAGAAGTTAGCATATATGGTAAATATAAGCATGTAAACACTTAATACCAAAATTTTACTAAAAGTAATTTAATTGATGCCGGGTGCAGTGGCTTATCCCCAGCACTTTGGGAAGCCACGGTGGGCAGATCACTTGAGGCCAGGAGTTTGAGATTAGCCCGGCCAATATGGTGAAACCCCATCTCTACTAAAAATACAAAAATTAGCGGCAAAGCTCGCGCATTGGCATGGTTAATGCCAGCAGCCACTGCAGCTCCTTCTGGCCGACTCGCCTCCCGGCCCTGCGGTCAGGCCCCTGGTCAGCCCCCACTCTCCCTCCTTCGTTTCTTGAAGATCTCGAATGTCACCTCTTGTCGAACATCTTGAATAGCAACATGTTCTAGACAGATGGCTAGAGAGGACTTATGGACAAGAAGTTATCATTGAAATTAAATGGTAGCAGACATGTCCAAGGAATATTGTGGGGATTTGATCCCTTTATGAATCTTGCGATAGATGAATGTATGGAGACGGTGACTAGTGGGCAACAGAACAATATTGGAATGGTGGTAATATGAGGAAATAGTATCATCATGTCAGAAGCCGTGGAATGGGTATAAAAAATGGCTGTTCAGCAGAGAAACCCATGTCCTCTCTCCACAGGACCTGTTTTACTATGATGTAAAAGTTAGGTCATGTACATTTTCATATTAGACTTTTTGTTAAATAAACTTTTGTAATAGTCAAAAAAAAAAAAAAAAAAAAAAAGAGCTGAGTGTAGTGGTACACGCCTGTAGTCCCAGCTACTTGGGAGCTGAGACATGAGAATTGCTTGAACCTGGGAGGCAGAGGTTGCAGTGAGCTGAGATCATACTATGGCACTCCAGCCTGGGTGACAGAGTGAGACTCTGTCTCAAAAAAAAAAAAAAAAAAAAAAAAAAAAAGGTAATTTGATTTTGGATGACTCAACGGGCACTTCATAATTCTTAGGTTATCTTAGGGCATCACTATGAGCTATCACTGTGCAGTGCACATATGAAATATCTATTGGTGGAATGCCAGTTACAGAAAGCTTCATTCTCTGTTTTTAACATCACCTTGAGCAATGTTCAACTGATGAAAGACAATATCCTTGCACATGTCTTCGAAGGTTACAGAAACTGGAACTAAGCCATTTATTCTAAGATTCTATCTCATAACAGAGTTTCCCAGAATCAACTGACCTAGATGTGAAGTATGTTCTTTCTAAGCAAAAGTGATATTTAATGATGGAAGGATGAATTAATTGAGCACAGGATTTGTCAAGATTCCACCAATGAGGAAGACTGAGGACTGCCTAGTAAATGGATGGTCAAAAGCAAGTCCCCTAGATTTTATTTCCATATCTGCTATCTCAATTCCTGACTGTGTGTGTGTGTGCGTGTGTGTGTGTGTGTGCATGTGTGTGTATATACATTTAAATTCCAGAGATCACGTAATTATAGTCATGACTTGACCTTGTAAACACCAGCATAAATCTGATTCCTGAGTTGGCCTTAGAGATGATCCAGACCAACATATTCAATGCAAGAATGTCTTGTCTGGTTTCGAGGGCACATGATCGTATAGAGCAGGCTTGAGTGTTTCAATGACACAGCACAAGTGCAGTGACCTTAGCAGGCACTGTCTATTCCACTGTGGGATGGCTCTAGTGGTCAGAAAGTCATTATGTGTCAAATGGTACCTGCTTTACACTGACTTCCCCACAGTGGACACTGGACGAGGTATAAGGTTAGGCCCTTGCCCTGGTATGGCCAAGTCTTCAAATTTGTTAACGAAGTATTCGTAGGTTCAATCCCTACATGGGATAAATGAGTTTTAAACAGTGAAAACTTGATTTTTGACCAGAGACAAGAGTTGGCTACTGGCAAATTCTATGAAGACTCTGGGTTCACAAGGGGGGGCGAGATTCTAACATTGCATCAACTAAATCCTTCACCACCCTGGAAAAAGAACTGAAGAGTATGCATCCTACTAATTGGGTAAAAGCAACTTCATCATTACACACTAGAAGGGATATTGTGACTTTGTATTTTAGTAATATACAGAAAATGGCAGCAGCTTTAACCTAGCTGCCCAAGGGAATGAGGCTTGATTCTTCCCAGTCCCCTTTTCCCCAAGTCTAATGGGTCACCAAATGCCATCACCTCTACCTCCTAAATAATTCTTTTTTTTTTTTTTTTTAATTAAGACTCACTCTGTCGCCTAGGCTAGACTACCATGGCACAATCTCAGCTCACTGCAACCTCCGCCTCCCTAGTTCAAGCAATTCTCCCACCTCAGCCTCCCAAGTAGCTGGGATTACAGGTGCATGCCACCATGCCCGGCTAATTTTTGTATCTTTAGTAGAGACGGGGTTTCACCACTTTGGCCAGGCTAGTCTTGAACTCCTGATCTCAAGTGATTCACCCGTCTCGGCCTCCCAAAGTGCTGGGATTACAGGCATGAGCCACCACGCCTGGCCCTCCTAAGTGTTTCTAAAATCCACTGCCTCCTCTCCATCCCCACAGGCTTAGTTCAGGCCCTTATCTTGTCTGTACCACAGCCACGTTGACCTCCACAAAGGACAGGGGTTCTGCCTATTTTGTCCACTGCTGTATCCCCAGGACTGAGAACATCACTTGCCACATAGAAGGGAGGGCTCAGTAAATATCTGTTGAATACATTTTAACAGCCTCCTAAATGACTGACTTTCAGCCCTCTCAATTTCAGTCCTCTTGCCCTCATGGTTTCTTTTGCAATATGAGGTCATTCCCCTGAGTCTATCCTTCCCGTACAAGACAGACTTTCAGCTTCTTAGCAAGACAAATGTGGCCTTTCAGGCCCCAGGCCCAACTGACCCACCAGAGTCACCTCCTGCCACCAAAACACTCATACCCAAGGCACGTTAAGAGCTCGCGGTTCCCTGCATTCTTCTGTTTCTGCGTCCTTGCCTCTCTTCTGCCCTCTGCCTGAAATGTCTGGCTCCCCTTGTGTCCTGGCAAACTTCCACTGGACAGATCAATGTTCAGCTTAAATATGATGTCCTGTGTCATATGAACTGTTCCCTACCCGAGCACCCAAGAACACTCTGCATTTCCACCTCCTCCGCCCACTCTGAAATTACTGCTATCGTTTGCCCGTGTACTTTCTCTCCATGTTATTCTTACTAGAGACTGGCACATAGCAGGTTTGCAGTAAATGTTGAAATCAATTGAAAATATAGCATAATGAGGTATTTTTAAGTGTAACACCTGTAAAATGCTTTCTGCTGTGTAGGTGACAAACTCAGCATGCTAGTGTTGTTAGGAGTTTCTCCACAGTTCGACGGCATTCACTTCCAGATTCTCGAAATCCACTTTTCTACCTTATTTGAAAAATTAGAAGTGCTTTTTTTCTGTCACTGCGAAGTCATCTGGGTATCATTTTGTAACACAGATGCTAATAATCCTCATACACATGTCAAAGTGGTAACAACCAAAGCTTTTAAAATAATTTTTTCTTTCTAAATAAAATAAGTTTTTTTTAAAGAATTTAATATTTTTCCTTTTCCTTTGGGTTTTCTATTTCATAAATTCCAAAGAACATATATCAAATATGCCAAATCTCTAAAAAACAGAAGGTGTATTTCATGGCCAGAATACTTACACGCCTCTACCTAAGGGCGGGAGTTCAGCAGGACATAATACAGTGTCCAGTTGCCTTCCAGAATAAAGTTTGGTTTTCCGGGGACGGGAGCGGAGGGAGGTTAGGTTAGTTATATTCCTAGCATAATATGCAATCTAAAGGTTAATTTATAAAAAAGAAGCTGCTACTTTTACAGTGTTGTACATAACATATAAAGAACACCCAAAATTGGCCCAGTGGAAAAACAGATAAGTTATGCCAGGACTTAAATCAATGATCGTCCTCTCTCTAAAGGTCACATTTAAACTTGCCTTGTCCACTCCACGGCAATCCCTGGCCTTGGCGTCTGCCCTGGGACCTCTCCAGCCCCTGCCCCAAAACTGCACCTGTCCTGGGAGGCAGCCTGGCCCCGCTAACTCTTCTCTCCCTGGGTCAAAAGAGCAAGGTGGGTTCTTCTGTTCACACTGCCTGCACCTTGCTAACCAGCTCCAAAGGCTTCTGAGGTTCTCACATTGCCTTACTTTTCTATGCTTTCATTTTCCATTTCATCCTTACAAACAGTTCCATGGTGTACATTTCCATACAACAGTTTTCCTGGTGGAAGGCCCGGCCGGAACCTGGGTTTCATTTTCTTTGATTGATGTTTACTGCCTGTAGCTTATAAATTTCGATGGCAAAAACAATTCCTTTGGGGTTCTCGGCCTCATCAAATATTCTCTCTATATAGAGTGTACAGACTTTCCTAGACACAGTAGTCTATGTGGATTCCCACCCCCTTAGAAAGGGGTCACTCTGTGGTACGGACCCTGGGCACCTCATTCAGCTCAAGTAGTGGTCCCACGTCTCCCACAGGTGTGTCTGTAACCACCTCCTCCTTATGGCCAGGAACTGGCTGCGGAATCCTTCCCAGCCTGCCGGAGGACGTCACCGCCAAGCCTCTGGGTGACCTGCACAGGGGTTACCTGTGGCCCCCAGGCCGGCCCTGGACGCTTCTTGGACCCACCCTCTGTTCACTACCCACCCTTTCCCACCAGGTCAGGACCCGCCGGGGCCTGGGGATCCTCCCAGGGCAGCAGTCTCGCGGGAGGACCGCCCCACCCCTCGCCACCCTCACCCTGACAGGCTCCGGGCCGCGGGGCAGGGCGGCGGGAACCGTTTTCAGGCCGGAGAAGAGCCCGTCGGGAAGGAGCCGCCGCCCCCTCGCCCACCCCTGCAGCCTCCTGCCCTGGCTCACCTGCCGCCCGGCTTGGCTTCGCTCAGGGTCACTGCTTCCTTGGCATCGTGCCGCCTGGAGAGAGCTGCCGACCGGGATGGGACGTTGACCAGGGAACCTGCCGGGGGGCGGCGGCGCCGGCGGCGGCGGCTGGGGCACCAGGGCTTGGGGAGCCTCGGGCTGATGCGCGGTCTCGCGACCCCGCCCAGCGCCGCTCAGCTGACCGCCAGCCGCTCCCTGCCCGCGCCGGGGAATTTCCCGGGCCCCGCCCCCAGGCCCCGCCCACCCCCAGACCCCGCCCGACCAAGGCCTCGCCCCGCCCCTTTGCTGCGTCCTGCCCCAGCTACCCACCCTCGCGGTCCGTGCGGGGTCGAGGCTGGGACCCGGGTGAACAGGGACTACGCCAAGGCGTCACTGTGACGGCGTTAATCAAAATAAATCATTAATCAAATCCAGTGTGCGGAGTTGGTCTTCCCTGTGTCTTCCCCGCAGATCCCTTAGTGGAGGCTAGAGCCGCAGGGGGGTCGCTGCCGCCCACAGAAAGAGGAGAATCCCAGGCATCCTCGGAGGGAGGCGTCCATCTGTGTTTGTTTAAAAAACGCTTACATCTAGACATAGTTAACTGAGCATACATAGCTTTCCACCCGTTTTCGCTTTAAAATACACTCAAAAAGCAGAAAGCCTGCAGGATGCTTCTTGGGCTCTTGTTACCGAAAACAGGCTCCGCTAACCTCCGGGCGCTCCAGGTGTCCGGCGCCGGGATTCACGGGTGCGCGGGGATTGCATCTGGGAAGCAGCCTCGCTGGTGTGGAGGAGGGAAGCTGCCCCCGGATTAGACAGTAGGATGACAAGGTAGGAGGGAGAGCCGCCCTGTGTGCATCCCGAGCACCCGGGCAGCGCCTCAGGGACG